CCAAGCTCCTGAAGCAGTCGGACCCGCGATCAAATGAAGGCGTGTAGACGACTGCTATTCCTACTACTCCAACAACAACAACTACTACTACTACTACTGCTACTACTACTGCTGCTGCTACTATACATGCCCCGAGGAAGCCCAGCATCGCTTCGAGCTGGGCGCCGCGACGCCCTGGCTCCTTGGGGCTGCAGCCTCGGAGCCCAGTCTGCAGATCCTTCTCCGCTACGTTTTTCTCCGGGTTCAGGGGTGTAGGGGTTTAGGGGTTCAGGGTTTAGGGATCCTTCTCCGTTGGTAATTTTCCGGCTTTAGAATTTTTGGACACTCACACTCGGACAAGCCTGGCAAGGTCTGTGGCGATACTGGTCCAACGACTTACTCAGATCAGACTGGGCTCGTGTCGCCAAGTACAACAACGACTAAGGACGATTGGCTGTCAGGCACGGCTAGTGACAAGGGTTTAGAGCTAGTTTGGAGTTTAGGGTTTAGCTGCTACTGTCCAGCGCGCAGGAAGTCTCTTGTAGTAGCTGTACCTACAGCTCAAGTAAGCGATGCATCAAAATTGAATGCAAGCTCGTGAAGATTGCATGCATGCCAGGCTGATGCAGGTTCTTCAGCTGCGCAACGCTGAATTTAGTACGGCACAACGGAAAACAGAGTTGAAATTGGCAAGGAGTGACAAGATGTTGCAAGCTTTCCGGCTTCGGGCTTCCGTTCTGGGAGTGTGGCGAGGTTCGACCGGCCGGAGCAGGGCGAGGCTTAAGATTCCCGACTGGATGCGACTGGTGCCGCTGAAGTGGCGACCAACATCTCACTTCGGGAGGCCGATGCTTCGCTCTGAGTCTCCGCTGCGTCTGCCTGCTGATCTGAGCTCAGGAGTGCAGGTTCCGGGGCTCCATTTTACGAGCATCAGCCTATGCCGGATCAAACCTCAACTCCAGCATAGTTCTGACTTGCGAACAATTTGACTGGTTGGCTCCCTCCCTCTTGGATTTGAAGTCTGCAACATGCAACATGCCAACTACGAAACTAGACTTGCATGGTATCCAGCTCTCTGTGCGCGAAAGGAGTAACGGACTGAGGACAGTGGTGACCATTTCGTGGCAGATTCACAAGAAGCGGAGCTCGTTTTCTTCTCCAGTTCTCTCATCACCTGGCGAACCGGGCGAGTCGATTTTACGGTTCTTTTTGGTTTCGGCGTTCTCTGTGCCTCAGCCGGCGCCAATTGCACGCGGCCCGACCAGGCCAGGGACGGGAGGGGAGGCAGGGACCTGAGCTGAGGCTGAAGTGCTTCGTGCTTATGATGCTACTGACCATGCCCAACATGTCCTCTACTGTATTGGCTCATTTTTTGCAGTGATGCCGGGCGTTCGCAACCAGACTGCCGCCCATGAACTGAGTACGAGGCCATGCCGAGAACATGGAAACACAATCGAGAATGACCGACCGTGCTCCACATGTTGGCACATGTCACAGAACATGCAGCTGGTGCATGCCACACTCTTGCAGCCTGTGAGCCCTCTGATTGGCCACCAAACATGTCACCTCTAACAGACTCTAACACAAACTAAGAATCAGATATTCAGTGACGGCACTCTGCCGGGTCATCGTCTGCCTCCAGAGCTTCAGCAGAATGCGACAGACACCGGAGCAGCCTTGCCAACCCCATCGGAAGATCCCTGGCAGAACTCGGGCCTGCTGCTCTGCGGTGCTCGCGGCATGCAGGGGGTGAAAAGCCATCAGCTCCTCGACATCCTCCTCTGCTTCAGGCTTCCGGGCCTCCTCCGCATGCATGGGCTGTCGCTGTCTCGGAGTCTGCAGGGCGCAGGCATACCCAGAGCTCATTTAGCACATGGAAGGCAGTAAGCCAAAGGTTTCCCCATCTGGTTTGGAGGCACGACTCAGGCACACGATTCACGACCAATGCGCATGCGCTTTCACAGCCCAACTTTCTACGCTTTTGCCCGCTTCGAAGAGAAGGTGCTCGCATGGAAACAACATCCTGACAACATCCTGAGTCGTACAAGTGGTTGCTCGCATGGGAAACGACATCCCGGGTCGCATGAGATCTCACCTAAAACCACTAAGAACATGATCGCAACTCCTTGTCTCGAAGGTAGACGAATTTGTGTCGGTAGGTACATCGGTAGGTAGGTAGGTAGGTAGGTAGGCAGGCAGGCAGGCAGATATGCAGGCAGGCAAGCAGTGAGGTAGCCGTGATACTAACTAGTGTAGTGGTGGTGTACATTGCTACCACTGCTAGCTGCTAGCATTATTGCCGACTTCGGTATTTGTTGTGTGTTGCTGCGTTGCTGCGAGCCATCGTGGTATGCATTGTCGAGGCTGTGGTTAGTACCACGAAGACCACAACAGCAGCAGCAGCAGCAGCAGGAGGAGGAGTAGTAGTACCAGCAGCACTCAAGCAGTGGTATGAGTAGCAGGTGGTGGCCCTGTCTGCAGTCTGCACGTGCGCTTGGTGAACCTTACCAAGGCCGTCCGATTCAACGATCCCAGTTGACCCAAACTGCCAACTGTTACTCGGCTGGTGGAGCAAAGCTGAAGCCCCAGATCGAGCAAGAAACACCGCGCATTTCGACCTCGTCCTGTGCTGCCTCCCAGTGAGCCACTTCAGGCTCTCGGCCGGGCGCCTCCGAAAATAGCAAAACCAGCATTTAGTGGACCACCATTTAGTGCAGCACTCGCAATAACCTGAAGCCAGATGCTGCCTAGCACTTACCGCAAAAATCTTTTGAAAGGAAGCGACACCAAAACCAAGAGCTCGGAATTCTGCTGCAGTCCTCGTGCCAGCTTTCTTCGGCAGATTCCAGCAGCTTCGGGACCAGCGGCGGCATGCCAAGGATCTCCTCTGTTTCAAGTCTGCGGTGCCCGTCTATACCAAACGCCCAAAGCCTTCGAGCAAGCCTTCAGATCGGGTGACGACCGCCTCGCCCCATACATCTCCCACCCCTTGGGAGCATTCCCTCATTCCCAATACCCGGCTACCATGGCCCTGCACTGGCAAGCATGTGACTCCTCACCCGCTTCAGAATTCGACGTCTGCCGGTGTTTCTGAGACGGTTCTGCAAGGTCGTCGGCGGTCTCCTGGCGAAGATGTTGGCAAATTTATTTGAAGGCGGCATGTTTGTTTGTGGCATGTCCCGTGTTTGTGGAACATGTCCCGTGCAGATTCCGCGGCTGCAGCAAAGCTGCAAGTCATGAACTCGTTCCGATCACACTTTCCTCCGCCACAACACCCGCAGCCCAGGTGTCAAACCGAACTGAAACCCCCAACCTCGTGGTCCACCTGCAGCTGGGGGGCCGGGTCGTTCCTTTGATGCTTCAAGCTTGCAACAGTCTGGAGTGAAGCATCGAAGTCCAAGAAAGTCAGGGCTTGCAATGCACCGATTTTTGTTGGGCCGTTTCCTTGAATGGCTGTGTTTCGGACACAGGTCGGTAAGCCGGAGCCGGAATCCAATATTTCGGACTCCGGACTGTGACACCGAATCCTTGCAAGTCCGACATTTTTCAGCTGCGCATCATCTCCGAACTGCCAACTGGGGCTGCACCAGAAGATTGGGCACCTGCACACTGCACGCAGGAGCACAGACAAGCATCCAAACTTCAACTGTCAACGGGAGCTCGGGTGAACACGCGTCAAGCCTAAGCTTTTCGTGTGCAGACACAGGTCCGCGTGAAGAGACATCGCCTGGAACACAGTGGCCTGCTAAAATTCAGTAGCTACTTCCAGCTGGCACCACGAGAACGACCAGAAGACTTACAACACTGCTGCATGTCACATTTTGTTTAGTGTGCCTCACTGCCTCTGACTTCACTTCTCTAAGGTCCCAGCAAGCGCATGTGAGAGATGCAAGGACTGGACAACCCAATCAGGTGCTTTTGCAAAAGTTTCGGCGTCTGCAAACCTGGTAAGAACCCCAGGCAGATGTCACACAGCCTTTAAAGTGGTTTTCCGTTTTACTAGCCTCGGAGAGCTTTGACCAATATTGGAGAGCGACCCTGGCACCTCCGAATAGACTGCTCAGAAAGCCGGCCAGGGCATCGTGCGGACCGGGCTTCGTATCTTCACTGACCTTTGCAGGTTGGGAGTCTGCGGCTTCGCGACAGCCACGGCTTCGTGTTTCGAACACGTCACATCGAACACAGCTCACAACTGAGGGCTTCTGAGTGCTTGGGTTCAAGAAGTTCATGGAGCCCCGGGCTTTGCCAATTCGCCACACAGACGGGCTGCCTCTTTCGTCACATCTTTCTGCGGCGGATCGTCGACGCTCTGGCTGTTGTTGGCTTCCTGCAAATCATGTCCACATTGAAAATCCGTCCGACCTACTTATAGTATCTTATAGTGATGCATCGACGTTTCTGGAGCCGTTTTCTTTCATAGGTCGCAAGCCTAGCAGGTTTAGGAATCGACGCGGTGTAAGCGTCGACCCGTCACTGCTGGCAACACAGGTCTCGATATGCTTGCAATCTACTGGAGGTGTGTTAACATGCGCCGATTGGCTTGGGAAGGTATCACTTTTGGACTGCGGCATCGAATTTGGGCTACACGGAGTTCGCACTCTCGGCCGACCATGCCAGTGCACGTCGCGGATTGAAACAAAGAGCAAAACGTGCACGGAGCTAGGGGGGAACTGATAGGTTTCAAAGGTAACCCCATGATCCATGTTGTTCGTCGGTTTGAGACCACTGGATGTCTCAGTTGCTGTATCAACTGGTCACCGACAATGTCGAAAAAGACCATGAGCTTCGGGCAGCCTGCGGTGCAGAACCGCTCGCTGATGCGGGAAGCAGGCGCAAACGAACACCATCTCCTGGGTTGAGTCGCTAAGCCGAAGGCAGTTGGGGCTCTTGCACGGTTCAAGCGCTTCTTGCTGAGTTTGCTCGAAAGGCACAGCTCGACAACTTTACATAGCATCTTCTCCATCATCTGCCTCTACTGAGCCTGCAATATTACATGATACAAGCTTCACTACTTGAGCTCTCCTAGCTCCGAGAAAAAAAGGGCTTTCGAGATCTCTGGGCAGCGAAGCCACGGAGCTCCCCGGAAAGCACCTCGTCGGCTTCATCCTGGAAGTCCCAAGTTCTTCTCTTAAAATCAGATCAGGGACTGGGGGTTTAATAACACTCCTGTAGCCGGAGGCCAGGGCTACATCTTGAAATCATAGCTGGAGAGTTATGAACCCTAGCAGGAAAAAATTCAGAACTGTTTTCAGAGTTCCGTTCTTCGTTTCAGTCTTTCGACTTCGGCCTCCCTTGGCTAAGCTTGGCCAAGCCCAGGCCTCGGAGGCCAGCGCCAGGGAGCGCCCGCCGACCTCCAGGCGCCGTTTTCTGAGGTCCATGCAAAGCTTCTGGGAGACTGGGGTATAGGGTAAAGGGTTGGCGTTGTAATTAGTTGCCGGGCCTAGAGCCATACTGACAAGTCCCATCGCCACACATTCGCACTTCATGGCACAGGCTCTGTGCCACACTTTCAAGCATCTCCTGCACTGATAGCTCTGCGCCTTTCCCGCATCCCTACTGCCTATCGCCACGCCCCGACACCCCGCGGATGAGATTCGGGGTTGTAAGCAGTCAAAATTTGTCGCTGCGCCTTTCCACCTCCACACCACGGCAGCCAAGACCAAACTTCTAGACTTCACGTCTTAAATACTGACATCTTATGTCCCAGCTCGCATGTCACGAGTCATAAATCCCAACCACCAGAAACACGGAAGGACGGTTCAACAACCGCTGCCCTGCTGCGCAATCCTGATAAATGCTTCTCGAACCTGAAGAGAATCCCACCCACACCCAGCCCATCCCTGGCCCTCCCCTTCCTAAAATTGTCAATGGTGAAGAAAATGCCCAGGACAAGGATCGCGGGCCTCGAATCTTCAGCCTCGACCCACAAACTCCAACTCCCACGAGTCCCGAAACGCCCCAAACAAGGGCCTCCACAAGGAGGTCCCCGACTTCCAAGCCTTTCTGCCCCGGCTCGTGGTTGATGGACCTCGGCTGGACTGGTAATTCCATCCATCGAACACAGTGCTCCATACTTACTAGTTCGCCGACGTCTTACTCTGCGCGAGCGGTCACAACGGTATCTGCTGGGGCCAAAAACCTTGGTGCTGGGGTTCGTATTTGGTACTTCGCCTTCGTGCACCGACTGCAGGCTGCTGGGTCATGTCATGCCAAAAGGTCCGGTCGGCTCTACTTGCCCCACTGCAAGAATCATCGACAAAAAGCCCATGCGGAATCGGAGTGTGAGGCCGACAGCTGAAAAAGAATTGTGATTTCCGTAGAACTGAAGCTTCTGACTAACATGCGTGGCCAAGGGCTCAAGAACGTAGCCACGGCCAGCCACGAAGCTAACCTTGTGCGACCCGCAACTGTGCCAAAACCGATCACGACTTGCAACACTCGCTTGGGACTTGGGCCTAGGAGGTTATATGAGATGGGGGGACCTTTGCCGAATGCTAACACCCCGCTGTCTTGGCATTCGTGTAGCGGGATTGCGTCACATGCAAATCTGAATGGCATATGGATTCTTCAAACCATCAAACCGCCAATACTTCCAGAAGTGGACTTTTAACTATTCTTTTTCTCACATATTGTCCGAGACGGGGCAATATGATGCTTTCTGCCAGCCTCGAGTCCGGCGCCCAGCTGCGGGTGAACTTGCAGCGTGGCTTCGCGGCCCCCCGCTAATGCCTCCATGGCAGCTCAGGGACGTTGACGAAGACTTCTTAGCATAAGTGGTGTAGGCTTCGGTTTCGGGCTTGGCGTTCCGTCTTTTCCACGCACAGCACATTTCTTCTTCCGCATCTCCGGCCTCTGGCTCGGCTCGAGCCTGCGGGGCCGACTGGCCTCGGAGCGATTTCATGGAGAGGGGGCGGAGGGGCTCCTGTGCAGATGGAGAAGAGTCTCTTGCTCTGGGAAGGTCGGCTTCGGGACGGTTCTGCAGATCAGGTCCAGCTGCTGAAAGTCGACCACAAGGAAACATCTCCCCACCCCGCCTTTTGGTCTAAACTGGCGGTTGAGCTGTTCTGAGCACTGGCTTCCGCTTCACGGACCAGGGCTGTAGTTCCGGACAGAAAGCAGCTGCACATGCATGGCTTATCATGGACTCAATGCCCGAAGAATTGACTGTGTTCATACAAAGCAAAGCCTTGGCGCATGTACCCCGACTCATGGTGCCTAACCATTCCCTCACATGTCTCTTTCCTGTCCAATTCTGGGAACTCAATATTCCGAGGAGTCTCCGCGCGCATCCCATCGGAACAAGCCCAATCACGAACCTACCTCTTGCCGAGCTTTGCTTATTTCTGACACCTTCCGGCCCCAGACCCTCCAAACCAGGATCTATGAAAAGGCCACTTCCCCAATGACCGACTCAGGATGCCGCCGCTGACCCTGCGAGCAGCATTGGCAAAGGCATTCCTCACTGGTTGCGCAATCTTGGGGATGCTGGCTCGGGGTGCAAAGTAGCTCCGAACCTGATTTGCAGCAGCAGTATGGCAGGAAGTGCAGCAGACAGAGGCGGAAGCCGATATCATCGGTCGGTTCCAGTCTCCTCTTGAGAAGTATAAACGAAACAAACGGAGGTCCGGCTCCAGCTGAAGCCCTTCCGGTCGTCTGGATCCACCGACAGCTCCATCAGGCCTGCCACGGTTTGGGAATCTGCGGCTACGATTCAGGCATTAGTTAGTACCTACACTCTATGGCTACGGACTTCACCGACGCGCGGCGCCTGAAGAATGTGTGGAAGGCACCGGATCCACATCCGGTCACTCGCACACATGTTTTGGGCACTTACCATCTGGCTTGAGACTCTTAGCAAAACTAGAAACCCCAGCTAGAGTTTCAACTTGCTGGTTTATGGTTGCATTGTCAAGCAGAAAACACATGCGGCCCATGCGGGTTTTCCTTGCGCTGCCTGCATCTACTCTGTCAAATGTCGTGTCAAAACCTGCAGACATGCAATAATCAGAGCAACAATCGTTCTGGATTTTCATCCTGTGGGCGGCATGGCCTTACAGCAGGCCATGCATCGCACATGCAACTTGCAACCCCATCTGAAATAGCTCTCGCTGTTAACCGACTGCCCTTGCAGCTACATAAGCAGCAGAACCAAACGGTGCCGAAGGAGGAAGCTGGTTGGTAGAAACAAAACAACTTTTCTCCCCGCAGCTGTGAACTGTCTACACTGGGCTTTCCCTTCCTGCCCACGGTTTCACTGAGGCAGGGCCCTTGGTGGGAAAATCTTGTGCTGCACTGCTGAGCAATGCTTGCTATGCGCTCAGTCCAGAGCCTCCACATCCTCAGGCAAAAACTCTCATCATCCGCATTGCGCAGACTGAGCAGACAAGCCGGCAGTCGAAAAGTGCCTAGACTGTGCGTAAACGTTCTCTCAGCCACCACTCTTGAATTGAACTCCCGTTGACAGCATGTCTTATTGTTTCGAGGACGTGACAAGTGGAGGACCTTGAAGAAGCTCTCTGACAAATGGCACCTGCCGCTGCTAGTCTGCTAGCGAAGAGGTGCAGGGCATGGATTAGAGTGCCGTTAATCTTGCCGTGCCATACACGGGAAAGCCTGCAAGCATAAATCTGTCGTGACTGTTCGATCTGCCTTCTGTTCGAAGTCGTCCAGCCGCTGCCAATCAGGAGCGTTGATGGCATAAACCTGGCACGCAAAAGAGGAAGTGGATCACGTGCAGTGGACAGCTACTAGGACAGAGTGGCCCTACAGAAAAACAGAATCAGTACCAGCCAATTGGCACCACCAAATCTCTGCCCAAAAAGACTTGCACTGCCGTTTTCGAATCGATTTCTTCTCCGTGCCAGGAGCACAGCACAGGCAGCAAACTTGCAATCAAACTTGCAACCATCAACACAAAACTCCCGCAAAGAACGAACAAGGTCTTTCGCCAAAAAGTGTTGCAACTCAAGACTTTGCCGCGCACTCGCAAAAGCCACGGTGCGTACCTTTGTTGGGTGGACATCGTGCTCCTGCTCATCTTGGACTCATCTTGGCCCTCGGCCATCCCAAATCGCTAAAGTTTTGGCAAGGCCGCAATGTTTCACCCCTCTGGGAAAACTTTGCCGGAAATTCAGAAGTCAAGTTTTCTCCCACCTCAATGCCCTGCATATTTTGTAGGGGTATCATAGTGGTATAGTCGGTTGTCGGTATGGGACTCTAATGTGGTGCGCGTCTGGGGTGCCAATCGTGCTCCCGCCACGGTGTAGTGCGCATTTTGGACTCGGTTCCTGTGTATGTGAGGCATATAACGAATACAAGACTGCTACGAACAGTTTCTCTTTGATAGTTTGGTTTGCGTGCTGCTACAATTCGATGGGCCAGAACTGTGGCATGTCCGAACGCGGGCTTGTCGGCGTAGCACGCATATCACCTCCTTACCACGACTCTTGATAACTCGAGAGCCTGCAGACCCTGCAACATACTGTAGACCTTCGCACGACAAAGTTCAACACTCACTAACCCTGCTTAGGTAGATGCGTCCATAACTGAATCGCCATAACATCTCCAACTTGCATCATGCGAAGCCGGAACCCAACGCACCACATGCCGGCAACGCACGCCAGCCCGCCGCAACAGCCACTCGATACCTGTGTGCTTTTCGGCTGACTGCTATGAATTCACGGGGAGCCAGGCGCTTTCGAGCTACAGTAGAAGCTTCCGGCCGTTCGGGAAATCAGTCTCACTCCATGGACACATATAGACTCTCCGACATGGCACCCGCACCACAAGCCCATACCTCAAAACTCACTGGCTCTTAGCATTCCTCCGGGGTTCCCGCTTCCAGCTTTGGAAAGCTGAGAGCTTTGTCCGTCGGAAATACGTCGCGCCTGGGCGCATCAAAGTTATAAGGGGGGGAAGGCGGCTGACAGTTTTTTTGGTGGAGCCGCCAAAGAGTGGCAGGCATAGCAGGCATTTGATTGTCGCGCCCTGCTGCTAGGGTCTAAAAGGCCCTGGTCCTACGAAACCTCGGACTCCAGGTCGACCAAACGAGTTGAAGCTGCTCGATTGATCCGCTGCCCTGGTGGTTCCTATCAACTCGCATCCCAAAGGACTTGAGCCCCCGGCATGCGTCGGGATCTTCGACGCTGAAAACAGCCTTCATCGCCTCAGCACCCAAAGCAGATCTTGAACTTGCCTTCTTGGCCCCGAGGTGCGTACTGTTGTAGTGGCAGCAAGAATGAGTTGCGGACGTCACTAGACAGCGGAAAGAAGGCTCCGCCAACTATAGTTCCCCGACCTGGGCCACTCATCCATTCAGACGAGGAGTCGCATGATCCGACACGTCTTGACAAACTCGCTAGCCTGTTGCGTCCCGTCTGCTCTCATGGTGATGCCGCTTACTTGTTTGTTTGCCTCTTACTTCGCGAGGACGAAGGCCGCATGACAGGGTTGATCTGTTCTTCTTGGTATTTCCCGGCTTGTGCGAGTCATCCTTGCGCAGGGGCCATGTGATTCCAGGTGCGATTGTGGTTCATGCATCTTCTTAGCACTATAGACTCTAAGCAAACCATGTCAGAGTTGTTTTCGGAGAGACTTTATGACATGCATAAGTACTATCGGCGTCATGGGCTACGTGCATGATAGACAGGCTCTCAGGAGCAGCGCAAGTGTCGTCATCCCTCGTCCTATAACACTATGCTATGCAGGGTACGCATGAGACCAATCGCGTGCTTCTGCTGCTGCAACTGCTAGATTTGTAAGCTGAAAGGCATAAGCTGTCTTTTGTCTTACATTTCAAGCACCTGGTCTTCGCACCAAGCATGCTCTGGTGCGATGTAAAAACCATGTGAGATCAAGCTCGTTCAGGCTAGCTGAATCCGGCCGCAGCTTGAGAACTAACCGGCAGCTTGCAACACTACTGACCAAGCCTGTCGCACCCACCCCAAGACCTTCACATTTATGATCCAATCCCTTCAACACCCAAAATCCAAAGACTGCCAAAAAAGCAAGTTCAGCTCCGAAACTGCGCAGCATCCAACCCAACTGCATCCAATGTGGGGCGATGGAACTCGCTACGTTATCATTTCGCAAAGAAGCGCGAAAATGCAAAAAAACATGTACAGGCAGTTTCGCGTGTCTTCACATTTTGCCTGACAGACTCCTGGCCCTGACCAGACAAGTTCCGATACCTCATGCCTGGACATCGTGCGTACACCCCGACGATAAGACTGAAGGCAAAACAGAAATGGACGATATTCATCTTCACCTGCTGCAAGCAACAAATAGCAAACCAACATCAAGCCAACAGCATGTCATTTGAATTTATGCGCATTCTGCTAACTGAGATTGGCCCAGCTGTTTGAAAGGGGTTGGTGCTCATAATTTCACAGCTGGAATTGAGCTTGAGGCTGTGAGGAAGCTCGCAGGCATCGAGAACCTGCACAGCCACGGACAGCACTTCTGCTCACGCCATGGCCTCACGACGAGATACTGGACTGGGCGAACACTGTCGCAAGCAAGGTTCGCTGTGTGTTGGAGATGACCCGAGACTCGTACCTGCCTCTTCTTTTATTGCCGTCCATGCGGCATGAGAATTTCTTGGCTGTGAGACAGCTGCTAATAGAAAACTTCGTTCAACATTTTAAATGCGATACTGCTGCAGAAGCAAGCACTTCAGGTCTTGATCTCGTAAGCTGTCACGCCTGCGAGACGTCGTGCTCCATGCTCGACATGAAATCCTCGAGAGGCCAGGAGCAAGCCCCTGTAGTCTGCTTAGACAACAGAAGCTTTATAGCTTTACAGGACTCTAAGAAGCTCCTTCACGTCTTGATCCTGAGCTTTAATTTTAAACAGACTTTCTGTGATCGGAAAGGGTTTCGAAGAGCAGCTGTCCCCGCACTTCAGCATCGGCGGCGGCGCGCCCCGTGGATCATCCTCAGAAACATCATGAACTCAACGATGTCCAACATGTCTGAGTTGATGAATTGTTGTGGATATTGGGCGGGACCCACGCAGTTAGCGAACCCTGAAGATTTTCGAAGATGAGGCGTCGGGCTCGGAAACCAGGTGAGATCGAGGATATCAGCATCACCCTCCCCACTCCACACACCATCCCCACTGTGAACCTGCTAATCGCTCGGGCGGAAGTCAAGCTGGAGACTGTCGTGCTGCATTGGGAAACATCTACGGCTCGGTCCAGCAGGACGTCGTTGCACATCAAATTCCTGAGCACCGCGAAATCACCCCACATCCGAAGCAGCGCATCTGCTCTAGTCGAGATCTGCACGAAGCCATGTCTTTAAAAAAACACGTTTGTGCAGGGCCCGGCCTGCAAAACATAATCGCCAAACGAAACACAAGAAGTTCTGTGCATCCACTGCCTTGTATGTGATAACACCCTACCTTTTTCGGAAACAATGAACCGAACCGTGCCACCGGCATGGTAAGGCCCGTGCAGA